GTAAGATGAACAGAGAGAAAGTTAATGGGAAAAAACATAACATTCACAACTATTACAATTTGGAGGAGACTTTCAACAAAGTTAGCTTTTAAACTTAATGATAGGTGATGTAATCCATTCACCGAAAAAATATTCAAGTACTTGCTTTTAATAAAGATAGTGACCAGATTGAAGTAGGTAGAAAGGGACATGTTTCTAGTTTGTTTATATTCATTTTGACATGGAAATGGATTTTACACGTTCATGTTTGTCTAGCGGTTCATACGTAAATTCCAAATAAAAATGTATCGAAAAAATAGGATGCGGTGTATTTATTTCTGATTCCAAGTGAATCATACAAAAACCGAGACCAAAAGATCCACACTGTTTCTGCAGTATAATGCTTACATCGATTGTTTGATGCTGAGGATTATTTCAGCAGCTTGAAACTACAGAAATCAGATAGGATACTAATCAATATGCACTAAATTTAAAATTCACTGATATTGATAAAAGGTGGCGTAGTGCAACAGTTGGCATCTTATATCATGAATACCGAATATGGAGGGTTCGATCGTGGAGCTTCGAGGACCTGAGCTAACAATCCAAGTCTTTGAATTCATAAGAAATTTGAAACACTCGTCATTTTGCATCGGCCAAATTAAGTTTGACAAACAATTTTACTTATAATTATTATTTTCGATAACCTTCGCTTGTTTATTTTTCGTTGCCTCTTTCTACAAATATACGCTTCATTGTCTAATTATTCTGAATGTGTTATTTCATTGTTTATTCTTCTAAGTTGTTGACCTCTATTACGAAACATTGATCCAAGCCTTCATTATTCTTATTACAACTAGTACACCCGTCATCAGACTACTAATTTGTACATTTTACGTATTAAGTTTTTTTATAACCTATCCTATTGTTATCACTGACTCATAAACTGCCTTGATTGGTATAATATTTTTATATCTGCATATAAATATTATTAGCGTATATTAGAACAAAGCCTGATGAGGATCTGATTGAAAACGATAATATTCTCATACATAATATTGGAATTCTTGAGGTAAGTTTCAAAGAACTGTTTCTGTAATTTGAAAGTTTAATTTATTCAGAAACATCCAGCTGATGAATCATAAATAGAACAAAACGAGCAACCTAGATTCCATAGTTAGGCACAATCCATCTCTTCTATATCAAAGCAATCCGTACCAGATGCCCATATATGCGAACTAATTCAGCCAAGGCGATCAATGATGAGATAATTCAAACTCAAAACAAACTTACCCATAGTAGCCTTGTATCCAACAACAGGAAAGGATAACCCATCTTTGGTAGATTGAAAAATATTAGTTTGACTACTAGTGAATCGAATTTCTCCACGATAAAAATGTGGACAAATAGATTGTCCAGCACATCCAGGACATTTTTTCACTTCCAACATATCAATGTCCAAACTCATGTTCCCAAAAGAAAATGAACGGAAAAAGAAATAATACACACTAATTAGTAGTAATGTTGAGAAAGCAACTACAATAATGGATAGTAAAATCCATTGAAGTTTTGACTGCCCATTTACAATATTGCGTTTCAAGAATGACTTATCACCATTTGTATTTCGACTATAAACTTCAGAAACCTAAAATTTCGTACAAAAAAAACCAAATAAACATGCAAATATTGTTACTAATTTAATGAAGAAATTGGAGGTGACTATGTAGAATAGAGTAAAATATAAACTTTACTTATATACATAGATTTAAGCGTATAAAATATTAAATAACTGACCTTGGGTAAAAACGGGACACGATGGCTTAATTCCATATTGTGAAACTCTAAAATAAAACAAAGACTATTAGGTGTGGACAACATTGTATACCAGGCAAAGAGTAAAAATGATCATTAAAAGGTCATTGTATAATATAGTTACAATATTTCTAAAAGAAAGAATACAATTCCTGTATTAACCAATTTTAAGGAGTAATATAGTACTGGACCAAAAGATTACTAGATTATATTGCCAATAACCTAAAAGTCGATTGTCTTAATAACAAATGAATAAACGCTCAGATGTCATCTTCATGCTAATACTGAGTAGTTCTCTACTGAAGATAAAAAATTATGTCTAACAGCAACCAAATAAGATAGCATGGAAGGCTGTATTCATATCCATAGCAGGTCATCTAGGAAAATAACCTTTGGTAATTAAACAATACAGATGAGAAAAGTCGGCGAACGGAAACTGAAACTTCAGGAGAAGGGTTGACTGTGAGAATTGTATCAAACAGGATGAGATTAGATGTGTTGGTCCAGTCGCAAGGTTGGTTTGTCTGTTGCGTTGTGATGTTGTTGGACTCTGAAGTTTCAGCTGAGTGATGCGCGAAGACTTCTGCTACGTTGTTTCAGACGGTTGTATTCCCATGGTCTAGCGCGGACAGCTAACTTGGAACCGGCGGGGATTACAGGAATCAAACTATCCAATTAAAACACGGGATTGTAGTTTCCACTAATCTGTTTTGACGAAATGTGATCTCGACCCAGAGCTCTGTACACATTTGATTAGATGAGAGTAAACGACGGGAATAACTAAAACCACAAATAGTTTATACACCGCAAGGACGAGATTTACTATAATGATTTTCAATACAATTAAATGATTATCACATTTCAAAAAGGAGAAATAGTATCCGATTGCTCATTGTCACTTCAAGTTGTGTGAAATTCAACCCTCTCAGAGAAATTTGTATTAAACTACATAGCGATGCTTCAATACAATATACCTAACAATAATTACACATGTCTTTTCTTACGCTATAGAAAAAGATATACTTATGGTCCAACTAAGATGTCGGAAGTATTTTAAGGTTGATGAGCAGCATAGCTTGCAATACAATATCCAAATTTCTCTTTTAGGTTGCATTTATCAGATGGGGTACCAATAAAAACTGGACAGTTATTCCGTCCTAATAAGCAACTATTCAGCAGTGTTCACGTACAGCCACATCACGGATAAGACTCAAAGCTATCAGGTTCTCAAGCGTATGTGATACTTTTGGATCATTGACTTAGAAATTAATGATATACATTTCCTATCTCAATCAATTCATGACGAACGCTTAACTACTAGGACAACAATTCGAACTTCGATTAATATGCGTCATAGATCGACGATCATACGACGTCACTGATAATAGCTGTTTCACTCTCGATTTAATTGAACTTCATCCACTTATCACAAGGACTTCTGGAATATGTTGAAGGGGTTTTGTAAAGACCGACTTAATTAGTAGGTGGTATTCGTCAGGGATTGGTCTAAGTACTTCCTAGTTCTCGACAGTACTTCAAATTAGATCAATCTGCGATAAACATAACCTATGAATTAGACCAAACTCCACAAAACCTCTTCAACTTAAACATTTTTCTATTTTCAAGGTGATAAGGTAAGAGTATCCGCTAGCGACTAACATTGACATAAGAATAGGGTCATTTAGGAAATTGGTAAGAGAAGTAAAAATACGGACAGATCTGTGTATATTATAAAAGTTTTGATTGATAACAATTTGTGTAGAAAGCTCCAGATCAACTTGAAACTTTAGGTCACAAACATATCACGAATTGGAACTAAATAAGATATATGCGGACAATTTTATTTTTGACTAGATTCTGAATACTCTTGAAGCCTCATGACATAAACAAATGTCAACATTATCCCATAAATTTTGTCGCCCTCATTTATTAAGAAATACGTAACAAATTAAACGTATACAATAATGTTTAATATACCGAACAACTTTTTATTTGACGTCATTACAATTTGGTCAAATACCAAAATGTAATAAAAGTTGGTTTGAATAGAAAACAAATATCTAAAATCGTTAACTCGATAGTTGTGAACTCTATATCTGAAATATTGAATCACATCTTCCATAGAAGATAGATTTTAACTAGTAGCAGGATTCAACACATGCATCTTTTTTGTCATGGTTAAGTATTTGTGAGCTAGATGTACCTGTATGTGTTGATATTCACACTGGAATTCGAACCGAGTATTTTTCGATTCAAATACCCAATGCATTATCCACTAAGCTAATGAGTAGTTCATGAAATCAACAATTTATTTCGCAGGTATGATGTTTATATCAATATTAGTAAGGATTTGAATTAGGCCGTTGTTAATATTTAATAACCAAATTATGACCAGCCCTAGTTATAGTACAGGTAAATTCTGTACAGATTGTTCTAAACCACACTATCATAAAGACAGTAATATTTGTTATCGATTAATTTTGATGTTATATCTAGTGAATTCAATACAACACTAATGTGAAATCATGAGTCAATTGAAGCTAGACTACCATGGAAAACCTGGAAGCACAGGACAGCCGTTTCGTCCTAGTATGGGACACCTCAGCAATGAGCATCCACTAACTAATGTGAATACTTAGAAAAATGATGCTAAACATATAAAATTGCGTTTTAATACAGTCAATACCATTCGATCAGATGCAAAAAAACCCAACAACAACACTCCATTCTATCGAAACAAAACAATCATATTGGGAAAAAAATCTGTACATATATAATACCAGTTTATTAAAAACAATAATATCATAATTAGTAGTAGTAATAATAATGGTAGTGAGTTCTTATTTTAAAGTAAAGTACGACATTGTAGTAGAATTGTTGTTGTTTATTTTTTCTTGATTAATGAATTGAGAAAATCTTCACATTGTAGGCTGGTACACTCATATATAAACATATACACATACACTTACAATAATATAAAAAAAAGATGATAATGATGATGATAATAGTAGTAATAATATGAAGAATAACGATAGCAATAGTAATGGTAATGATTTTCCGCAAATAAAGAAGAATGGATAGTGCGACAACGAGTCGTGTTACTTATATGAGAATGAATAAAACATACAAATAAAAAAGCGTAGAGAAATGCATTGTTTGTCTATTTTATTTTAATGTGAAAGGGAAAAACAAAATTTACAAGTTAGCAGATATATATATATATATATATATATATATATATATATATCCAAATGGGTATGGAAGAATGATGTTAACACCAGTACGGTATCTTATGGGAGGCTATAAAATTTAGGAACAAAAGGGTAAAACAAAATGTGTGTGTGTAGATCAACGGTTAGAAAATACAGCTGCCGGTATTAATATTAGAGAATAAATGATGTGTGTGAATGAACATCATGATCGTCGTTATGTATATATGTGATCCAATACTATTTAACAAAAAATTGGCGTACATTCACAATTCACATCTTCTACGACCAATAATAAATCAAATCAAGAATGAGCCAAGAACTAGGAAGAAAAAATAGATAAAAATCGGTAGATAATATAGTGTAGAATAATAGAAACTTTACAGTTTTATCAATTCATTTCTTTAAAATAATATCGTCCGATCCCTAAATGTGAATTATTTATATTAAATTACTCTAATGTAACCTATGAGTCCTAACAGAATATTCATGATAGACTATAATTTTATTATCATTATTATAAAGTGTTTGAACTATACAGTTGTTGACGCTAGAGATTGAACTTTAGTCAATCTTAGTTTTTTTACATGTGTGTTTCCTGAGCGGATTATAGATATATGTGCATTTTATCATGTTTTTAGAATAGGTGATTCACGGTTCACACTGGGAAACGAGATACGTGCTTCGTCCTATTTGGGACTCGTCAACCGGACACAATTACATTCTACTGATGATATTAAACACTCAGTTCGAGTCTAAGTGTTAACATCAATACTGAGATTTAATACCACGAACATGACAAGATCAAAATAAAAAGAAGAGTATGTTTATATTTTATTCCTATACACAAATCATTTATTCTGCAGGCTTGCTAGGTTTGAAGAGATTACGAGTTCACCCAATCTGTGAACGGAACGAAGACTCAGTGACCAATAAACTATTCCGATGTTAACTAAAGGGAGAAGTCCAGGTTCAGAAGCACAAACAACAACAATATGCACAACTCAATCGCATATATACAACATAAAAATGTCCTTGAGAAACGTCACAAAATAGCATATTAAAAGAGACAACGAACCAATAACATTTAGGGTCCTCCCAAGTGGGAAATACGACATGAAGGTGAAAATGGGCGCCTTTGGCGCGAAAACAAGAAATTCAAAATTTTAAAATAGAATTGGAAAATTAGACATTTACCAAGTGAGTTCTGAGGATTTAACATCCTCAACAAAGTTACAATATTATTTACACCTAACCCTTCTTGAAAATGAAAAGATAGCCTGGCATAGATTTAGTTAGGAGTGTAACGCAAAAAAGAACATTAAAGTAAACTAGCAAATTATTCAATAAACCCCCCTGACCTCTTTAATCCAAGGGTTCAATATATGAGGCAATGAAGAGAGTCAGGATATACAATTATATGGCACTTTGTTGTAACAAGCTCTTTTGTGGTACCGGAGACTATATGCTCCTATCGTTCACATTATAGTATCTTAAGTATCAGATATATATACTCTTCCTCATTCTTTATAAGAACGTCTCAAGTGCAAAAGTACTAAGAGAATAACTTCGCTAGCAGTAGGTAAATAAGCACAACCCTGTAAGAGCATTCTGAGGTTATTTGATTCTTTAAACATGAGAATTTCCCATATCATTCATTCCACGGTCTGAAAATTCAACTATCAATTAATAAATAGGCAGCGAGTGTAAATCTAGCTTTACTTATTTAAGTTTAGTTAACCATTTTACAATAAATATCAAATGACAGTGGTCAATATACCTTATACGTTTTCTTTACGGTTATATACTTATCTGGTATGAGAATTTTTATTTCATACATTGGGCTCAGAAATTTTTGTTAATCCTTTGGTGACAGTACCCACTCTGATACGTCATACGATTACTATTTCTGACGGTTATAATATGAAAAATTTAGCGTAGAAACTATACTGAACTCTGTGGAAGCACTAAAGATGAAACTAAACAGAATATTGAATCCGGCAAAATCTTTAGTACGCTATGGTGATAACGTATCAATACCATAAGATATTACAGATGAATCATTAATGTTAATGACTATAAAATGTAGTAGTGTTAAAGATGACCTAGATAAAAGAGAAAAAAGTTTTAATAAATGTAGTAACCTTCGTAGCTTTAAGGTAGGTTGAAATGTACAGAGAATATCGGCTTTCTCAATGTAGTTTGGTGAGCAAGTTTTTTTGGTATATCCCATGAAATATAAAATGTAGGTCCAGGGTCTTAAATCAGATAGTCCCGGTCATTTAAAATTACTACGTAATCTGACGTACCAAATACTTCAGATGATACGCTTTATAGAGTTATTTACAAGATGAAAGTTGGCATGATAGTACAAAGTGAATTGATAAATATCATCGATATTACTGTCCTAAATAACCTAATGTAAATTATATTCGTGTGTGCAGCTATCACCCATAACGATCTATTGTGTCATTTTAATGTTATCTATAGAAGAAAAAAATTGATCCTATGAACACACACTTTACAACACAATGTATCCATATACAGAAATGAGACAGAATGGACAGATGAACAATTATTTCAGGTGACGTTTTGAATATGTTATGTCGTTATTTTAAAAAATAATAGAATAATAATAATTTAGTGTGAAACCCATTAAGATGTTATTTGTATTAACTTACCTCTTTAACAGTGGAATTAATGAAATCCTTGCGATCAGATAAGTCAATATTAGGATAATTAGCAAAAATCTGAAATGTATGAAATAATAAATAAGCATATGATTGATTTGATGAGATAGATTCAGGAAGAAACAAAAATTAAGACTCAAAATATCAATTACATTACTAAATTCATATAACAAAACTGAAATAATCATGACATGGAGCATGCATAAGCTTATGTACAATAAAACACAATAGCATAGAACATTGCACAGAATGCGTTGGTTCGAGCTTTTAAACTTTGTGATAGCACTGGAAACGAAATTCAAAAAAGAGAAGTGTTAATAGGATACAGTTCAGACAATCTGACGCTCGGATCAGGTTTAAGAGTACAGTGATTGACTTATTTTCAACCAGTCGGTGATGGTTAATGGATTGAGAACATGTTAAAAGTATTTTCAATGAATGTTATGCACCCTCATATGTTTTCATGACTGTATCTTCCGTTATTTATTGAAATGTATATGCAATAACTATTTACACTAGTATAATACATTAACACATATATACAAATAACATTCTATTAAAAATTCATTTCAATAAACGTTTACCGGTGTGTTATAGATCCCGGGACACGAACACAATAATCAACGCTCTATACTAACATTTATAATAACCATTAGTAAAATTTCATTATCAAGAGGATTGACAATAAACCATAACTCCTTTGTTACAAAAAAGGCCGTTTTATTTTATGATGAATGAGGTTATTCGAATCAAGTTCGCTAAACACTTGTTCTAAGCATTAAAAAACAATCATACTTAAAGACGAAAAACATCCGAGAAATGCAAACAACCACCTTGTACAGTTTATATCATTTCTAAGTCAAATTATACTACATAAGCTAGTTTCATACACCAACCATTTTTCGAATAATTGAACCTTGATACTGAAGGTGTTAGGTTGACCGTCGAAAATTTTTTACAACTGTTATTAAGTCAAAAACATTGTTTCAAATTTATCCAGTTTGAATTCTTACTACTTTATTCCAAAATTACCCCATAGGCCTAGAATAAGTACTTACAATAGTGACCTTTAATCCACTCACTTTGTTTACATTGTCTTTTACTGTTTTTCTGCAATTAACGCCATATTCAAAACGTCAAAAAACATATTGTAAAATATCATTGTTTTTTGTGGAAGCAGAAAAAACTACTTTTTCTACCTAAGTAATAGCTACTTGAATAGTGCTCCGGAGAAGGCAAACGAATGTTGATAGACTAGTGGATATTGGCCATAAAATAGTTGAGATCTATCAGTCTGTTTTTAAGTTTACATTGTTTTACAACATATTCATTTTGATGACCTCGTTAACGCTCAGGATCTTGATGACATAAAATGGTAAATTGTATATTTGAACCAGTTATTCGTGGGAGATCTTGATAAAACAGTCAGAAAGTTAGGGATAAGATGCCCAAAACTAAACAAATTAGTATCTAGTAACTTAAACTATGGATTTGTGAAAAATAAAGTATGAAAACGATCAAACCGAGATGTGGTAATAGTCTACAGAATTACTGATGATTGGTTTCCTCATGAACATTGTGATCCATTGCTGGAGTCTTTGGATGGTATGGTTTAGAATTGATAGCAACTATGCAAATGCATTCACCTTTGATTTTCTTTTACATTCTGAATTCGAGAATTATTTCAAACTTATAACTCCCCAAATTCATCCATTCAACCTGAATCATATTGCTTATGTCTCAGTTTTCCTACCACCACTGGTTCCACTGTTACTTCTACTACTCTGAAATGTGTCCCAGTAATTTTATCTCATGGTCCAGATGTAGCGTGGCAACTTGAACCGATACGTACACGTATGTCCTATGTTCTACATTGCGTATGACCGATTTACCAAAAATAAAGTTTGAAACTGTAAGCTACTAGCTAACAAAAAAAGTAAGCGTCCAATGCGAAAGCATATCGTGATACAACAAAATATCAATAGCTTATGTTATATAAGGAGAAAAGATCCGTTTTAATAACGCATTATACTTTGATTACCTTTTCTCGAACAACTTTAAGAGATGTCTCTTCTAAATTAACTGTTTTAAGTAGATCAATTATATTTTTCTTTAATTCAGAATCAGTTGGAGGAGTAGTTACTTTTGTGGATGTTAAATTAGACAGAGGAACATTTTCTTCATCAGAATCAAGTTCTTTTTTCATTTTAGTCGGAATATGTTTATGATCATTTTCATCTTCTGTATCACTAAGTTCATGTTTTTTAGCTCGTTTAATACTAGGTTTAACAGGTTTTTGTTTTTGTCGTTGACTTAAAGCACGTTTCTTTGGTGGCTGTTTCTTTTCGATTGATTCAGCTGCATCTGATATATCACTCTCTGAGTTCTCAGATTCAGACGACATATCATCAGGTTCATCAATATCCTGCTGACTTGAATTATCTATGCTAGGTTCATTTGAGACAGTGTTCTTTTTCGATGGTTTTGATCTCGATTTTTTAGAGGTAATATCTTTAGATTTATTTTTTTGTTTATATTTTTTAACGATCTTTCCTTTACATTTCACAGAATTAGCGGTTGGTTTGAGTAGGAATTCCAGTAAGCGAGAGGCCAACTGTTCTCGAGTACCTGTAACTTCTAGGTTTAAGATGCGGAGAACTTCGCGTAGATCACAAGCAGGGCGTCTGTCAAAAAGAACCCACAATAAAATGACAAAACAAGTTTTTCCTCCCAAACAGATAAATCAATACAAACATATTTACAATCATTAAACTTCCCATATATATATATAGGGATGTTTAGAAACCTAACCAGAACTTCAACGAAAATGAATGTACTGAAAGTTACAAGACCTACATCGCTTTACCAGATAAGTTAATATTACTATGTGGGTGGGAAGTGGTGCCATGTTATTTAGCTTTCCATGATGATCCCGATATATCAGTCAAGCTCATAATGTAACAGTGAATCTAAATGATTTTGCAATGAATATTGCTTGATGTCTTACAGAAAATCAGTTACTTCTGGGATAGCCTGATAGCAACATTTCTAATTGTGATAACCAGAGGTAAGAATTTGAGCTCTTGTAGTGTTAACGGATGTCCAAAAGTCTTGACGACGCTTGTTCATGAGTGTAAATAAATTCACTGAGCTGTAGGTAGGTTACTAAGGCATGAAGTTTTTGAACTCAACAATTGTTTTTAGGATACTTAGAATACGGCTTAAGAAAGTGACATGGGAATGCATCTTATGATTGTTTGATTCCAAATGTAGACTTTTTAATGATATATTACGAAAAATTACATCGTCATGCAACAAATTTCTTTTGGGTAAATATTTGAATTACTATTAGTCTATTTAATAAGTGATTTTCGATACCGAAAGCCAATTGGCAGAAAGGATAATAAAATAAAATCCATAGCAAAGACATATTAATAAAACTATCACGTTACAATTGATTCTGACCGACAGGAGCTTATTTCTAGTTACCAATGTCAACGGCTGCTGAGATATCAACAATGCAGTTCTGGTACGGTCGAGAGTGGGGAGAGTCAACTCTCCCTCTCGAAATGTTCTCAAGTGGTCACGTGCATACAACCACTGCTAGAGAAGTCTTACTCACTGCCTTCTCGTAGCGGAGGTGTTGTTTACGAAATTGAGAAGACGAAAAGCAAATGTCCGGTGCTTTAATCGGGTTGATGGATACGGAGGATCTACCTAGGGGAGTTGGAAAACCCTGATCCCAAACCACTGGTGCACATGGGCTCCAGGATCCTGAGGAAACAAACGGCGTATGAACATAGTGTTGGTTACCGGCTACCATGGGACTGCATCTCCCGACGTTGCTTTCCTGCTTTGTGGATTGGACCTTTGTGTCAAAGGCTCGAGGTTTGGCCTCCTAAGAAAACACCTGCTTCCGTGGGGGCACGCAGGCAGTATCCCAGCCCTCACACCAATCGAATGATTTATGTGGCGCATATAAGTTTGGTGCCTTCTTGTACCAATGTTTGTGTGTTTAAAATAAATAAATAAATTTCGTACGCTTGGTTAAGTAAATCGAAAATTTCAAAAAAACGTGCAATATTTTTTCCTATTTACCTAGATGAATTAACCCACTACTTCTAGCGCTAATAATACCTTGACTATGAGACGACAGACACAACTAACATAGGGCTGAAATAAGCAAATAGCTAGCTTACTGTTGAATATATGTTGATTTTTTTTCGTACTGTTCAGAACCCATTTCGAAACCGAAACCTCGAAATTTGCGTAGATTACTACGTATTTTGCTTGCAGAGCCAGGTCTACCATATATTATTAAATGCAGTGATTTGAGGCTAGCAGGTTTTGCTTTTCGTATGGAAGCTTCAATGAGTGGGATCTCACCGAGTGCCGTCCCTGTGGCCCCTTCAAATGCTGCTGAAACTGCTTGTACTGCTTTGATCCGTTCCTCTTCCTTGGCCTCATGGGCTCGATTCCATGTTTCAGATAATCTCTGAACCTTCTTACGTTGTCTTTTCTCACCAGTATCAACTTCATGTCCATTTATGGGTTCGAGCTGTTTAACCTCTTCTTCAGAGACTGAGATACCTTCTTCAGATAATATAAATCAAATTGTGAACAAGAGAAGAATAAGATGCATCATATGGAAGGAAATATGTGAAATCAGAAGTAAACGTGATGAAGTATCTTAAAATAAAATGAGAAGAGCCTGTCTTGAATAGCCGGTTACAATATGGATAAAATAATGCTTATACTAGTTTGAACTTACGGTTTCCCACTTCTGGAAAGTTTTTTTACCGCAAGACTATTTGAAAATGAGGTTAACTTACTAACAGGTAAATAAACGAGGAGTCTTTGAAAAAGGTGTGCCATTTCGACCCATCATGTTCCGAAACAAATTAAAAAATAAAAGACTAGATAAAATGTTATGAGTAGAGTTTACTGAACTAGGTGCTTTAATCGTAAGGCTTTCATTATTCTTCCATACGATATCACCGGTTCAAACTTCAAACAGAAAACACCAATTAGGATATCCAAATATATAACTAACATATTTTGTTAACATTAAACTTAGTTGGTTGCTTTCATCTGTCTTATCATCGGATGCACATTTATTATGATTGCATTCCTCACGAACCTGATTCTTGAGATTATAGTTGCTCATCATTTATCTAAGTGACCGATAAACTGGATTAATTTATATATCTATTGATTGTTGATTGGCATAAGTACTACACTTCTAAAAAAATTTGGTTTTCGTTGTATTCTTTATGTCGTCGTATTTGATAGATAATTGATGTTTATCGGGACAGACGGTTTGTTTGATGCAATGCGACAAAACTATTTTTTTGGTTATGAATATTCTATTTAAGGTTTTTACTTGTGATATTGTCTAAAAAGACAACGAAGGCTTCACAATCAAACCACAAGACTTGGAAATGAACGAAATAGAAAAATAGACAGTCAATGACTTATGGTGATATGTAGGGATATGAAAATCTATTGGATTGGAAACACCAGTGGTAGTGACCAAGGGGTACACTCTCAAAAGAGCTCTATGAATCGACAAAGTATGTCCACACGAACGGACGTCAATAGGTAATCCACTGATCGGTTAATTAAAATAGTTCATAAGGGTCAGTTCATATATACCAAGTGAAGCGCTACAACATTTCGACATTACAGAAGGGAAGACTGGATAAGGCAAATATAGTTTCGAAAGAGTGATATGGGGAGGAGATAAATAAAGTGAGATGATATCTACACTTAAGATTTAAAAAACGAAAGATCATAGTATTTGTGTTACTGGGACCTAATTTGAGCTATTTTACTCAACGTTTTTAACCAGGGATGAGTACCCAACGTTCTTGAGGGTGGTGTTAGCTAACAGGGATGTAGATAGAGACTACGAACACGTAGCAGCTTGTATTCCTATTTCTCCAAGTTTTTACTGTACCACTGGATTATATTCCTTAAATAACATCGTCAAATCTTAATCTTTCCGATTACTACTTATACTTTGACTACCCCTACCACTATGGGATTTGAATCGACAATTGTATCTCTGTGATAATGTGGTATGGCAACTTGAACTTATGTACGTACGTACGAAGTTCTACGTTGTTGCTGACTGACATTACTGTACCACCTCGCTGGACAATGTATAAGATAAGTCCAACTGAAATTCAGCCATGAATGCTAGTTACACTTTCAAACTCGGTGACACGCCTGCGTCCAAGGAACCAGAAGTAACTATAGGGGATAACCAGATACCAGAAAGGTAGATAGTGCTGGTTATCTACATTGAATAGGTATAGATAGATAATTCTGGATGTGGGTTTCAGCACAGTATAGATCAGCGGAATGAGAGTCTACAGTCTTGATGTTTACTACTAACATCTTCAGTACGTATTCCTAAGTGGTTCTGAAATGAAAAGGTCAGAAACATAGGTGGTATGTGCAAAAATGATGCTAGAGGAATGATAACAAACATGAAAAATATGGGTTGAGCTGAAAATCCGACTGTGAATAGGATTAACTTGATTGTTGTGATTGTTATTTTCCATATGATGCTATGGAGACGTATTTATTCTTAAAACCAAGAAAAGAAACCAGATTAAGTGAATGTCACGTCAACCTAAAAGTGAGAGGGTTAGGTCTAAAGAGTAGCAGCTTAATGCCAATCACGTATGATATTTTAATAGGTAGCCTCTGCTGTATTAGTTTTGCAAAATTCAAGCTACCCTACCAGAAATCCATAAAATAGGGCGAAGTGTATACCTGTAGTTGTTTGCCATATTGCAAGGATGGACTCTGGAGATATACAAAAGTAGAATATGGAAAGTATCCGAGTAGTAATAAATTACATTTAGACATTTCTAATTGGACAACTTATTGGCATTTCCACAGATGAAAGTAAATACGATAGTTACAAATCTTCGTGAGCTAGTTTCTTTAAAATGTAATTTCGTCTTATCGAAAAAGTCAGTAGCTCGGCGAGATTCACCCAGGAAGAAAAAACCTAGAAGCATATCAACGCTACACAATTCTTAGTGTTTTGCGCACTTTTACATCTAACGATCAATTGCATTCATGAGGAAAAACCAATTTTAGAACGACACATTATAGAGACTACGAAAATTAAAGGCGATTAGTGACTATAATTTATGGACGAACCAATCCGGTTTAGGACATGTATTGGATTTTGGCGCGAAATTCTCCAATCCACTTGGATAAAAAACGTTTGGGGACTTTCGCTGATGTCAGTTCGTGATGAAAACTTTAAATATTTCTAATCCAAACCATCAACTGTAAATTAAAACTCCTCTTCTTCACACAGGTTCATAACTCTCATTTGGTTCTGGATATTAGGTGGACATTCCCAAGGCCACTTCAACGTCTCTCAAAGGTCGTTCACAAATTATAGTCTCACCGTGATTACCTGTGAAGCTCTAGGAATTGGAAATATACAAGATAGGTTTAAACAAATTTGATGCACGCTCTCAAATTACTGTGCGATTATTCAACTCATTGTGCCATCTAATACGCTGAACCGTACTGATGTTACAATATCGTCAGGAACTAGACTGATTAGTTTTCAGTCTTCAGTAATAAGGATAGGAGGTCTGTCGACCTATATTAATCCTTGCAGTTTGTAATACTGTGGAGGTCCAATAACAAGGCCACGAGAAAATGACGTGATCCTGGATATCAAAATATGAAACCATCACTAGTGACAGGTAAGTAAATACAAAAATATCATATGAACCGGAAAGAACATTCTTACTGCTTAGATTATACTTATCATTCTAGAGATGAGAACATTCATGCTACCATCAGCGAACGTGAACAGAATACTCGGCTTTCAAACTTACGTTCTTTATGAGGAGATTCGCTATGACTGTCGTCCACTTTGTCTAGAGAACCATCACTGTCCGCAACTTGAGGTGACTCCATCCTGATTAAAATGTTCTCAACTAGTCCGCGCGCGAGCCACTTTAAACCTAAGGTCATTCAATATCCAATGGTTAAGACGGTGGCCGCAATTTCTTAAATACTGCGTGTCAACAGACGTCGGTCCCTTATGCACTCGTATAGGTGGCGTGATGCAAGGATTAAGCATAAAAGTGAACTGGAGCGGACTATCCCACTCATATACTGTAAAGACCATGAGAACATCGTAGAAAGGGCAGGGGGTACGGACTTGGACAACCCTGTGTAGGTAGATTACCTGTCTATTCGCATAAGGCTCATACGGATAAACAGGATTTGGAGGCTCACGCGTTTCAAACTGAAGGTATAAAGTGCTTATGTATGAACGCCGCGAGTTTACTGAATAAAATGAATGAGCTGCAGCCTAGTCGTAATTTTAAACAGTTTTTTCTCTCCTCTGGCTTACTGATGTCTAGAAACAGTTCCGAATGCTTGCATGCGCTCGTGGAACGTTATGCATAAGCCACAAATAAGTTAAAAACATGTAATGAGTCCGATAAGAAGTCCACACACACGCCTACATACAACGGTCAAGATTGATAAGAGAATAAGCGACAGGGTAAAAATGTAACTTGAAAAGAATGAGTAGATTGATCTGTCCAGAGGCTCGAATAATCTACGTGGGCTTAAACTAGTACCAGCCGCTACAAATTCAGAGCATATCTCTCTGAAATCTCACGATTATACTTCGTATTATGAAAGAACTCGTTACTTATTTTGACCTGAATGATCAGTTGTGAAGACATCAATTTCATGAGTTAATCAACAGTGACCAGGAATCTAAATAGTTAAGCTCGGTAGTGGGATGGCAGTGACTTCAGATTATTAAACTAAAAGTACCTATAATCCACATTTCTTTACGATCAAACATACAGACACATCTAGTTCACATGGCAAAGTAGTTTCCTTCAAAAAAGAGGTGGATCATAACAGACTGAGTACAAATCAACTTAAAGAGCATTGTGAAGGATAAGATTAAGTAGAATTTGGTTGATCAGCGTGTTCAACTTATCTTCAGATGTATATTCGATGGCTTTTTGACGAAAAAATGAAAATCATTTTATATGCGGACGAACAATAAGTGAATGTTAACTGCCCGGATCTATTTATGGATTTTTACTATATATGTATACATATTCTTATCGTATAAATAATAAATAACTATATTATATGTATATTCATATTTCTCTTATAATGAGCTTCCGTTTCACCTACTGACCATTATTATACGATTTACCATTTTCAGGTTGTTTAAAATTTATTAGCCACAGTCTCTCACAACCACAGAAACTTTCGGTCTGATCTTGTATAATTGTAATTTTCTATTTTACGACACGATATAGTCTAATTTGCTTGTATATAATACGTATGTTTGAAATACATGATTCATATAGTGGAGGTCGGTTTTGGTGTTCTGGATTAAACCGGCCGGGTTGGGCGAGAAGCTATTGCCTTTGGGGACCAATATGAACTCAGAGGTGGCCCTAGGCTGTTCATACTGGTTTAGACGTCATTGGTCTGGACGTATTATATTGGTGTTTCTAATTGCCGATTTAGTCATGTGCTATTTAGTGCGTCATAAGGACATAACAGACCACATTTTTTATTTGTGATACTACATGAAATCACATTTATATGCAATATCTATAGTTTCTATGTATCATCTGTAAGACAGATGTGATTATTTGGAAGATATCAACACACACGCTTGCGTTGCTATTCAAATGCACCATATCCCTGTCGTTTATTCTTTTACTTTATCGAACACGGTCCTTAATTGGAGATTATAATAGTGGTACAGCCTCCTTTTAGGCAGTTTTACACTACACTGAAACGTTGACCTGGATTATTGATTAATAATACTACTGGCCTTATCTTTCTCGTCACTCCATCGGTTCCAACACGTGCAAAGGAACGTTCGCTAGTCAAATGAAGTCATTCGTTGTTGTTATCTCAGAAGAAGCTTACAAGTAATCCTCAATTCATAGCAATAGTTAGCTTTTTTATTCAATATACCACTTAGTCGTAAATGCCATTAGTTGCTGTTTTTCTTTACTCATAAACAAACACTTTGGCCTGTAGTTCGAGTCTTTTTCGGTACATCACTAATTACTGTGTTGTTATATCTTGAATAGGTTTTTTCACTGGGATCCACAACAGGCTCAGTTCAATACTGGATAGTCAATTCATACACAAACTGATGCACATTCCAGTGATGAACCCACAATCTTGTTAAGACTGACGGTACGAGCATTGCATAGACTGTTTGGAGGTCAGAGTAGCCCAAATCATTTATTTATACATGGTTTCAGAGAAGCGGTCGGGATAATTTTATCCCTTCTCCAAAGGCAACAGCTTCACACTTTCTAATATAATCAGAAACTAAATAATGATGTTCAGTTTACCAGGTAGTCTAACAGACATACTTTTTGACCGCTTCATGTTTTTACCAGTTAAGTTGTGCAACTTGAAGATTATCTTTCGAACTCAATTAGACTTAATACTTATACATCCCTTTCACCTAAGATTTTTTTACTCAGATTATAGTTGTGCAGATTTCACGTGAATATAGTAGTAGAATTAGTTATGATGGAATCACAACTAATATTGTGAAGATTTTACAATCTAGTTGGTGTTCAGGATTACTAATATCACATAAATCCCCATAATAAACTGCAGGTTTACTTTTGAATTTAACACGTGTTCGCTGGAGAAACAAGGGCTATAGAGTTAGACGACACAACAGAAGTTCATTTTTGCACCTGAAATTTCCACTTTTGTCAGTCCTTGAAAAAAGGTTGACTGATAACTGGTATCTTTCAGTCTAAATTTTTAAGTCCAAAATATTTATGTTTTACTCATAAATTGAGTATTATCGGTGTGTAGTTCTAAAAAGTAATTATAATAGTGATTCTCAATATAAATCTTTGATTTGTAGGTATCGAGGGCAAAAATGCAAGATAACAGACCAAAGTTGGTTTTCAACCAAACATTCAGGGTTCAAATTGCGTCCAAACCAAGTTCAAAGCTACGGTAATACAATTATGTGAAAAATACTAACAAATGATATTCACAATACCAGTTCATGGTAAGTTAACTACTTGGAGTACCTACTGTAACACTCTGTCTGAACCTGCACATTTATGAATGTTTGAGTAGATCAACACAATGTTACTTCATTGGGCCACTTTTCTTAGTGGATATCAATGATCAACGCAATGCTTTTTGTGTGCAGAAAATCTTAAGGTCTAGTGAGATAAAGATTTCGGTAAGTATCGATGCCCATCAACTGGGATTCAATTGAATAATAATTGGCCAGACTTTAAGAACTTGTTTCCACTAAAAGCGGTCAATGATGGATGTCATTCGTGGACAAAAGTGATGTAGTCAAGCCATTCCTTAGGATTAACTCTATCATCACTTTCATAGCACTACAACTGATTTCAGTTTACTGTTTGGGTATCTCGTATCCAAATAACCATTAGTATGTCACGTAAATATAAAGTTGAATGGAAAAAGTGGACCGCGAAATGTATTGACGATGCGTTCTATTTACACAAGCAACTAAAACACAAGTACATGAGCGACGGGCAGGCAGATGTAGCACAAGTTTGACACATTAGTCTAATTATTCTAACTAAGGGTGGTCCATTGAGTTGCTGACAAGCAAGCGTCGATGGTTAGGGCGATAACTTTAATCTACTATTGATTTCAGAGTTGAAAATTCCGCTTGTTTCAGGCCTTTTACGACCAAGGACGAGCCAATCAATCAGTGATACTAACATTGTTCTCTTACTCTTGCAACTCATACTTATGTTTTTAATCTTATGCTGGATTTTCTACCCCACTATAATTAATTACCTATGACACTCTAAGTCAGGCTTCCATATTATGCCACAGTGACTGATATTAGATAAAAAGTGAGAGCGAAAAGATATCGTAAAAGGTGTAGTTGTTAGCGTTCCTTAGTACTTCATTGTCTTTAAATTCTCTTTCCATTTTAAAAAATAGCCTTTCTGATTAACCCCGAAATTGCCTCTATCATTTGAAACCATTTCATTTCATAACACATCAAAACTCACTGCTATTTATGACCGTACTCTCTAATATCAAGACTTGATCATATTTCAATCTAGTAACGGCAGCCTGTTGTATTTCTATCTACCAATTTACATATCCTTGTCTGTTCTATTACAAATCGTTGAGCATTATTGAGAGTTTATATCTAAATACCGTGCCCCTTACATTTCTCATTTTTTGTTATTTTATAGCGTCGCGTTCTCAGTGTACAGCTATGGAGCTTCTTACTCCAGGAGTAAAATTAGAAGAATATAATGTATATGTCTTTTAAGGTAACAGCACATATCAAGCGCCCATAATAGTGAACTTATTATATCTTTAAACATCGTGGATATTTGTATTACATAAATACATAGCACTACCACAATTCTAACTTACTAATGTCAAGTTTGAACCCGTTGTGCGTTTACCGAATTCACAAAATGAACGCGACATCAGTTCTGAAACATTATAACGTCTGTACTGATCGTGCAACACTGACGCATAAGCCTGACTATTAAATAGCTGGCACATCTTAACGAATACACTGTTCTTTTTTAATTGTTTATCATTGTTGGTAACTCGACACAGTAGATATTCTTTTCGCCCTTTATTTCCCTTCTAAACATATTTTATTCTCAAACATCCAAAGTCTATAACTAAAAATAAGTCAGTCAGTCAGTCAGTAACAACGTAGAACTTCGTACGTACGTACATTAGTTCGAGTTGCCACACCACATTAGCATAGAGATGCAATGGTCGATTCAAATCCCGTAGTAGAAGAGGTAATAAGAGTATAAGCAGTAATCGGAAAGATTAGGGTTTGGAGATGTCACTTAAAGAGTATAATACAGTGAAATAAATTTGAGAGGAGAAAAAGAGACAAGGAAGAATAAGGAGATCAAAATTTGGGAGAACACAAAGAGTAGATGCACCTGCGCCATTGCAAACGATTTTGAGCC